AAAAAAAAAAAAAAAAAAAAAAGAAAACTAATAAACAAATAGATTATAGCACATATAAATATTTTTTCTCATTTTATTGTTGCCCATTTTATACCTGTTGGAACAACCACTAAAACTTCAACAAGCACTTTGTTTGAGGACTTACAGCAATAATTATACAATGCCTGCCTATGGTCCAGATGGGCGAACTTTAGTTAAAGGTGCTACAATAACCACAACATCTTCACGTCCTAAGTCAGTTTTTTCTCCGTTTTTTTTCTTTTATTTTTTGTTTTTTTTTTTTTATTTTTTTTTTTCGTTTGTATATCTGTTATTATTGTTTTTTTTTTTCTTCTCTTTCACCTTTTTTTTTTTTTCCAACTTTGTTCTCACTAATATTAACCTGGCTTCTTTATCCCTTTCGTCTTTTATTTTTGTTTTTTTTTTCTGCTTTTTTTCCCACCTATTTTATTAGTTTTCTAAAGATGTTTTGTTAAGGCAAAAAAAAGAAAAAAAAAACATTGTATTTTAACTAGATACTTCAACTATCTGTGTTCTATTTGACGAGGCAAAAAAATATTTGAAGAGTTGAAAAACATTTTATAAACACTTTTGCAGTTACGGTACACCATGGTTGCAACGTCGATATGGTAGAAGTTGCGATTTATCGGATCGTCAACTACAGGATGAAGATGCCAAGCTATTGAACAATCCGATAGCTCAAGTAAGGTTCAAGGCTTTAAATGGCAAAAAAAAAAAATCTGCAAGTTTCAAGTTGTTGCAAATTCCGAATTCATTGGTTAAGAAGTGGTAAGGAAACATATTTTTTTTGTAAAACGCCAGAAAGAAAAGTGATAACACGGAACTGTTGGTTGATTAGCAGTGTACTGCAATCATCACAAGAAAATAATTATTATTGATGAGATTATCAGAAATATCAAAATAATCAGTCGGAACACTATACTGTTGTTTAAACCAATAAATTGGTTTGATGTACAAATTGATTTTTGAGCAAAGCAATGCAAAAGCAGTTTACATAGAACTAACTGATGTACTGATGTTCTGTAATGTATGAGGAAGCTGGTGAACAACTATGGTTAATAAATGTTTCACCACTAATGCACCGAAAAAAAAAAAAATAGATAAAAATTTACAGGATAACAGCAGTTTTTTTTTTGTTTTTATTTTAAAGTCAATTTTTTATAGCAAAAAAAAAAAAAAGAGAAAGAATTTAAAAAGAGTAAAAATTCATTACCAATTCTTCTTCAATATTTTATTACTTTTGCAGCTTGACTTTTGCAAACGAATTATTTTGGGAAGTTAAATTTTGCTATTTTGTACAACGGTCAACAACTATTAATATTCAATAATGGTTACGTTTCTTGTCTCCTTAACAAAATTTGTAATCTGTAGTCATAGAATTAAACAAAAAAAAAAAACTCTGTTTTTCTCACTTTTATTTTTTTATGATTTTAACAGATTAATAAATATCTTATTGACGTTTACATAATATGTTTTTTTTTTTTTTTTTTGTTACCACGATAATACTTGTGAAACTAAAGCAGTAAA